AAAAAAAAAAAAAAAACCCTCCTCCATCTAAGAAAAAGAGGAAAAAAAACACATGAAGTATCACAATATGTCCAAAAAAATTGTAATTAGTAGAAAAAAAAAAGATCTAAGCTAGGAAACATAACACTTTGATTGCCTGAAAAATAAACAAATGCAAAAGCAGAGCTAGGAGACTAGAAAGCAAAAGCAGCTACTGAATGGTGCAACCACTTGCAAGCAAAAATGGTACATTTGAGGTCAGGGGAGAAGCTTTTACCCACATGTAGGTGATTGTAGTCAAGCATGGCTAGTTAGGGGAGAGGGGAAGATTGAAACGCAGTTATCTTGCCTAAAAGATTATCTTCAACTATATCTGTCACAAAGCTCAGAAAGTTAGACACTAAGTTAGTATCTCACTTTAGAAGCATGTTATCAAATACATATGTCACAACTATCAGATATATTCTACAAAATGGATTTCTCTCTTTCCAAGCTAATTACCTGTGCGGTTTCCCAGCTGAATGAGAGTTTTATCAAAACATAGGAGATTAAGCTTTTACATCAATTAATTGATCGAGACCGGGGTACGATGACCATAAAATGGGTACACCAATTATTCCGTAACAACCATCATTAAGCATGAGGAAGCTTCTTCTTTTATAAGTTATTAACTATTTTCCTCCAGATGAGACAAATTACGGTCTTTGGAGAAGAAGGCTAAGCCTGCAAAGGCAATTCTCGATAAGATCATCAACCCAAGAAGATGTAAGGTTTCTACAAGGAAATCTTTTATAGTACAGTTGGAAGCTAACAAAGCAGGGACTGTCTGAAGTATGCTTTTGTGAAAGACTTAGCGTAAGTCTAAGATAGGCTCGCATACATCATGCATTTCTCTAGAAAGTCATTCATTTTTGTTTCATCAAATGATTCAACGATTTTTTTCTTATAGGCAAATGATTCACCAATTGTTGTATACATAGTAATTAAAATTTAAAATTACTACGAAAAGTTTGTTAAGCTCTATGCAAGTTAATACAAGAGAAAATCTCTTTTCGATAACGACTACAAAGGATCTTACTAAAAAAGCGGAACTAAACACCCGCATAAACGAAGACTAGAGAGGAGATCTTGCAGCTAAAGTGCTTCAAATGTATATAGTCATAGCCTATGTTGCTCGGACTCTCCAAAAATGCCGTCAGGTGCATTTATGGAGGATCCAACACGAGTGCAACTGCATTTTGGATAGTCCGTTCAACATAGGTCATAGCTAACCATTTGGCACACAAATTAATACTCCAGAACACACCATATCCTAAAGGTGATTTCCTTTATTTCTTTTAATTAAATGCAGGTGTATTGAAGGTAAGCACTGATTGACTTCTTTAAAACTTATATTTTGACTAGTTCATTTATATAAAAAAAATAAAAAAATATTTACACTTCCTTAATGAATAAAAAGTACTCCTCATATGTCATTCTCATTCGTATATCAACAATTACATTTCACAATAACTAACATAGCAAAGGCAGAAGAAGGAAAAAAAATCTAGCTCCAAAACTAACACCACTTGATATTTAATTATTCATGTTAACGGGCAAAAAGGAAAGTAAGCAGAAAAATAAAACCTAATCAAACATTAAAATCATGAAACGGTAAACTCAACTCATGAAAAGCCTTTCCGCAGCTTCAGTAGTGCATTGTACATTTTTCTTCTGGAACCAACAGCATTAATCCCCATATCCTTGAGATCCTCCAGAGTCAACATGGGCAATACCTCATCATCAACCTCGTGTATCTCGAAAACGGGTGCGTATCTCCCCAGCCCCAAACCAATCAACCATTCCCTTACTCCAATGTTGTTCTTATCCCCTGAATTCACTCCTTCATTATTGAGGTCATCGTGATGGTCTCTGCTTTCGGACACTCTAGTCCTAATCCCCCTCCGATCCCAATACTGAAGGCCCATGTGTTCCATAGAGTTTACAGGGCTATGCTCTTTTACTGGGCTTTCCGAGCCCGGTGACGGCTCGAATTCCCGAAACTCTTCGTTATCATTGTTGTCTTCCCTGAAAAAGTTTGCTTCTTCGTGAATTCCTCCACCATTGAGCGTATCAAACTTAGATGAATGCCAATTTGTCCTCACTCTCTTCGCGGGTTTCCTCGATTTCGACTTCCGATTTCCCAAATCAAAGTTGTAATTGTTGTTGTCCTCGACGATGTTGTTGCTGTCGTCATAATTATCGCCGCCGGCGCCGCCGTTAACGAGGTTAGTTAAAGGCCGGGTCTTTGAGGTTTTAGCAGCGAGGGTAGGGTCCTTATGGAAACGCCAGGTTTTGGGGCCTCGTCGGAAGTGAGTGTCGGAAGGTGAGTTTCCGATCTCGCCTAATCGAACACTTGGTCGGCGCTGCCGTTTCGGAGCCAAGCTGGGGCCTAAGTTCTTGCTATTGACGTTGTTGGTTGGAGGGTTATCGGATGGGGGAGGTGGTGGAGCTATAGATGTTGTATTGGAGGTGGTGGTTGTAGCGGTGGCAGAAGGGATGGCAGCGGCGGTGATGGGGGCGTCGGGCTGCTGTAGCTCGGCCATGGAAGCAAAGTGGAAAGTGAAGAGGAGTGTGAGAGAGCGTGAGATAAGGCAAGTGAAAAGACGGGAATCAGGTGGATTGCAGCGATCCTTCGACACGTCGCGGGACAGGCTAAAGTGGCAAGCCGGACCTAGGGTTGGACATGAGCCGACTAGTTCGGGCTTAACTTTGATCCATTTGGATTTAGCTCAGGCTCGATTCTGTTACTTTGATCCAATTGGATTTAGCTCTGGCTTGATTCTATCGTGCCAATGGCTTTCTAGCCACTTATCACTTTGTAAAGCCGATATATCAACTTTTGGGTTTCCCATTTGAACACTTTTACTTGAGAAAATGGCTAGTAATAAACACCTTTAACCGTTAACTATGCTTATGTGACAATATTATAGCTGATGTAGATGTTTAATTTTGTGGGTAGATCAACCCCTAGATCTTGGTATATTGATAGAAAATCACAATGACACTAGACCTAAATTTCAGTACAATTTATGAACGTAACTTGTGACGACTTTCGTCGACTTTTGTTTCACAACGCGCTTGACTTTAAAACTTAAAACATGACTATAATAAGACTAAAATACCTCATAACATCACCTTATTATCATGTCAAGCAACCTTGTGATGACCCAAAAGGTCATCTTTTGTTTTAGAGTCCATTTTCGTGTTCTGAGGCCTTGAAAACCTCCTTGTATCTCTCCTCGATTTGCGTGCGCAGTCCGTGCGCGATTCCGGAAAGCTTTTATGTGAATTTTAACAAAAAATATTAAATTTGACCTTTAAATTGATTAAACTTGACATCGGTCAATATTTTTGGTAAACGGACCCGGACCCGTAATTTGACGATCCCGTAGGGTCCGTAGTAAAATATGGGACTTGGGCGTATGCCCGGAATCGAATTCCGAGGTTCCTAGCCCGAGAAAAGAATTTTTAAAGAAAATTGTTTGCTGGAAAATATAAGGACTTTTGGAAATGAAATGGTTTATAATCTTGATGGTATCGGGCCCGTATTTTGGTTCCGGAGCCCGGTACAGGCTTAATATAATATTACGTCATATATGTGAAATTTGGTAAGAATCCGAGTTGGTTTGGTATAAATCGGACCCTTGGTTGATAAAATAGAAATTTGAACTATCTTGTGAAATTCATGAGTTTGGTGTTAAATCCGTTGTTTGATATGTTATTTTAGCGATTTGATCGCACGAACAAGTTTGTATGATGTTTTTAGACTTGTGTGCATGTTTGGCTTGGAGCCCCGAGGGCTCGGGTGAGTTTTGGATAGGCCACAGAGTGTTTTGAACTTAGGAAACTCAGTTGTGCATCTGGTATTTTTGCACAGGCCTCTTATCTCGCAATTGCGAGATCAGGCTTCGCAATTGCGAAGTGAACAGGCCTGGGAAATACGACAAATATGTCGCAAATGCGAACCAGGCGTGGGCAGGCCCTCATCGCAAATGCAAACTCTGGGCCGGAATTTGCGAAGGCCCCTCTGTCGCAAATGCGACGTTTTCTTCGCAAATGCGAAGGTAGCAGAATTTCAAAGGGTTCGCAATTGCGAACCCCTGATCGTAATTGCGATAACTGCACCTGCTAAGTGAGATTTCAGACGGGATTTTTCATCATTTTACACTTCTCTCAAACCCTAAACATCCTTAAGCGATTTTTCAAAGACTCAAACTTCTTCAAATCATAGGTAAGTGATTTCTAACTCATCTTCTTCAATCTAATTCATCTTTTTACATGATTTCACTTCAAAATCTAGGGTTTTTCATGGGAAATTGGGTGTTCTTGGGTAGAAATTAGGATTTTTAAATTTTGGGAATTTGGACCTCCATTTGAGGTCGGATTTCAAAACTAATTGCATATTTGAGTTCACGGGTTAATGGATAATCGGGTTTTGGTTCGAACTTCGAGTTTTGACCAAGCGGGCCCGAGGTCGGGTTTTGACTTTTTGGGGAAAACATTGGGAAATTCATATTCATGCATTGGAAGTGGTTTAATTAGCATTTATTGATGTTGTTAAATTAATTATGGCTAGATACGAGTGAATTGGTGGTGGAATCGAGAGGTAAAGCGGTGGTTGAGTGTTGAATTGTCCGTTGGCTTGAGGTAAGTGTTTGGTTTACCTTGACTTGAGGGAATAAGAATTCCCGACTTATGTGCTAAATGAAATATCATGTGTTTTAGTTTGTTCCCTTCCCCGTTTCCTAGTATACTGCTTCTTGTCTTATTTGCTACTTGCTTAAACTGTTTCCATGCCTTAATTGCTACTTGCTCTTAAATGCTTCCATGCCTAATTGCTTCATATTAACTGTTGCCCTTTATTGAATTATTTAATTGTTTCATGTTAATTGTTGATGTTCCCATTGAGGTATTATTGGTTTCGTAGCTTTATTTTATTACCCCGTTGGCTTATATGGATTCATTGGTGCCTTATGGTGCACGTTGGTTGGTCTCACTGATTTGTTTTCATGAGTGAAGTTTTATAATCATAGCGATATTCCATTGTGTAGTTGAAGTATAAGAATTGTGGAAATTGAGTTAACTTGTGAAACACCTTGTATTTATTCTTTGCGATTGGTGTTGATATATACATATGTTGGGATCGGGTTGCACGCCGCAACAGGAGGAATAAGGGAGAATTGTGATTGTCTGGTGGGATCGGGTTGCATGTCGAAACAAGGAGTAATAAGGGTGGACAAGTGGGATCGGGTTGCGCGCCGCAACAGGAGGAATAAGGGTGATATGTGTTGAGGAGTAATAAGGGAGGACAGGTGGGATCGGGTTGCATGCCGCAACACGGAGGAATAAGGGAGAATATTGATACTGTTATTGTCGGAAATATTGATATTATTATTGTTTATATGGTGGGATCGGGATGCACGCCGCATCAGTTATTGTTTTTGGCATTTATTCTGTTGAAGTTATTATTGAGGTGTTGAAATTTCCTAAGGATTGGTTATAGCTGAATACAGGTAAACTGGTTGGGTCCTGTGTTGCTTTAATGCAAGTTCCGGTTATTTTCATTCCATACTTCTTCTCTGTTTATTATAAACTGTTGCAGGTTATATATATATATATATATATATATATATATATATATATATATATATATAATACACCGTCGTGGCCTCGTCACTACTTTGTCGAGGTTAGGCTCAGCACTTACCAGTACATGGGGTCGGTTGTATTGATGCTACACTCTGCGCTTCTTGTGCAGATCCCAGTGCTGGACCGTACGGACCGTAGTTCGAGGTTGCTGCCTTCAGACCAGTGGAGACCCGAGGTAGTCCTGCAGGCGTCCGCAGGCCTTGGCGTCCCCTTCTATCCTGTTTTTCGTTTCTGTTTTATCTACTTCCGAAACAGATGTGTATTTCTTTGTTCAGACTATTATGTGTAGTATTCGTAGATGGTCCGTGAAATTATGACACCAGTTCTGGGTGGAGTTTTATTATGGTTTCGCAATTGTATTAGATAACTTGTTAAACTCTGTTTCTTTCATTTTATTCCGCTGATTTACTTATGTTAACTTGCTAATTGTTAAAAGATAAAAGAAAAAGACGAAATAATTTGTAACGTTTTCTTGCCTAGCGAGTACAGTGTTAGACGCCATCACGGTCCCGACGTTGGGAAATTTGGGTCGTGACAAACCTAATTTTACTCCAAAAGTACAGGTTATAACATTCCCAATTTGCCGACTTTCGACGAAACTTATTTTCTTCATTCATTTAGCTTCTAAACCTTCCAAAACTCTTGGTACTTTTATTTCATGATCTTAGTACTTTCATAGATGATCTCATTTCCGAGCTTACATCAATTGAGTTACGATATACTTTTACGTACGGAAATATGGTGTGTAACATCATTTCCCCCGTTGGAACATTCATCCTCGAACGTTGGCTGATAAGCTCTTGCCATCTAGGCAACTATTCCGTGAATAAATCCAAAGGACAGGGCATTCCCTACTTTAGGTGACGAGGCCAATATGTATAGGATTTTTCTGCTCGTGCTTAGTCAAATTCTAGTATAGTTTATGATATCGTCAAATAGAGATTGAAACATCTATGTTAAAGACTTTTAATATTTCAACTACTATTTGAGAGAATCAATTTGATGAAAAGTGAGGGAGGTTTAATGCTTGTTAATTACTTAAATAAAAACCAAGAACTTGCGGAAGATTTATAATTTAAAAGAGTTGGGAATCGTTGAATTCACTTGATAGTATATTACAATAAAATCTCAATTTTTACATGTATTTCTCTGAGGAATAATTGCTTATTGCTAATACAATTATAGTTAGCTCACTAAGAATTAGTCAATTAATAGCACTCCGTGAGGTTATGTGATTAATTGGGTTAAAACTAGTGACGATTAGACCGAAATATTTTCTTGCTTGAATTGTGCTAAGAGGTAGTAAAAACTTCGTGAGAATATTTTTACTAAAAAAAATCAACAATCTTGCCTACAACAATTCCTCAGTAAGAATTAAAACCGAGGCAAACAAGATTACGAACTTGGAATAATAGTTTACTAAAAATTACTCTTACTCTACTATTTTATTCATTGGTTATTATATAACAATTTTGCTTCGTGATAATTACAAAATCAATATAAAAATAACAAAATATATAGAAGTGATAATAATAATTAATTAAAACTATTATTATAGCACAATACAATATAAAAAGAAAGTTTCAAGCCAAGGATGTATTAAACTGAGCTAGTATTATATCATTAAACATCAAACATACCCAGTAAAATCCCACTAGTGAGCTACTATTTTATATATATATATATATATATATATATATATATATATATATATAAAGCTTCATCAACTATCCCAACAAAAATGTTACTCCATTACTAAGTAATAAAAACTAATTTAGAACAAAGAACTTATGAAGGAATATTATTCTTCTAAAAGAAAGACAACTAGTAGAAAATACTAGAGACAAAGAGAGAGACCAAAGATTAGTTTTCTCCCGTAAGATACTTTCTCACAATACATTATGAGTGTCTATTTATAGATAATGTGTAGCAAAGGTGAGATGATGTTGCAACTTTAAGTCTTGAAGTTGTGACTTCAAATGTTGATGTTGTAACTTCAAGACTTCATGTTGTGACTTCAAAATTTGATTCAATCTTGTTTACCACGTGCATTGCTCTTTTTCCTCCTTGTTTTGCTTGTAGTACTCTTTCCTCAATTCATC